GGAAACCAGCGCGTTTGCATATCGCAGAATCACTCCGTCTGCCTGTACATCGGAAACTGTATGATCGGCGTGAAGAATACACTTGTTACTATCTTACTGTTATGAATTCTGTCTATTTTACTGTTTCTCGCCTTGCTCGTTCTCCAAAAATCCTCCGTTCCCGACCACGAACCACCCCCTCTGCCATTATCGTGACTGAGCAGTCGGTTATCAGAGTCGTCCGCATTCGTGAGTCTCTACATCTCCGTATTTTAGAGTGAGAACGTACCGAAAAGATCTCAGAAAGAGTGGCACGCTCTCTCGTGCCTGGCGCCCAATTATTGACGTGAAATTTAGAGTATGTAAGATTTGAGAGAGCCGTTGTGGCGTTGAGTTTTGTTGTCGCGAAGGTATCTGGCGAAGGAGAGGCAGAGCAATACTCGCGAACGCGCGACGAAGTGGCACCACGCTCGTGAGTGCGATCGCAATATATATTAGGAAAACAATTACCTAAATATATACGTACTTTCTGTTTTGAATATGAGATTTTAGAAATGACATGCATGACATAAAGGGCCATTCTGGCATTACACCAGAATCCGATGGCTGTATTTTCTGCTGTCGCAACTTTCTGCTAAATTTCACTCCTTAAGGAATCCCAACGCTTTTTAGCTTCATTGGCTACAAAACAGAAATATTTAGACAGCTATATTTGACGGTTTTGTATTTTCTTCGTGCAAGAGAAATAAAATATTTTAACTTATACCTGTGCAATTCAGAGACTCAGCAATCGTTTCCCACTTCATTTCTTTCACTTTATAATCTTTATAATTTGCGTCACTTTTTGCATACAAACAAGGATTTTGTTGCACAATTGCAATTAAAACCTCGTCATCAATATCAATATTATCATTTTCGTCAATATCCGACATTGTGACAAAGTATAAAAAATGAGAAGTATACTTGGCTTTCCGCTACACTTTTCTTTCATTGATTGAAAAAAAGGTTATATTGGTTGAAAGTTTTAAGTATTGTAAGATATTTCGATAATCAAGCATTATAATATTCGTCCGTCGATGTGAACATACGAGACATCTATTTATCGCGACCGTTACTACAGCTATCAAACGTATGGATAGTAGTACTTGTAATCGCTCTGTGCGGCGCCTCGGGCCGGAGCCGAACTGTCAAAAACCGGAGCACGGACGGCGCCGACGACGGTTTGTCGCAGTCACGCGAGTTTTGAATATCGTTCGATATTACCCTTAAGCTCACCGTCGCTTTTGTACGTTTAGATTCAAGTCTAATCTTTTGTGTTAAAATAAAGGTTACTTCTGTTGAGTGAAAGAAGAAGTTTAGGCCTGACAGTCATTTGAATTATCTTCTCTCCTTCCCTATTATTATTACTATCCCACAAATTTGTCCCTTTGGCTCAAGCGTTTTGAAGTCGTTAATTCTAACGGATGCGACTTGGAAATTGACTGTTATCATAAGGCAGTCTTACAGTATTAAGTTTTAAGAGCTAGGATCTGGCCAGCTCGCTTAGAGCTTAGAGATTACAGCTTAGGACAGTGCGAAAAACATTTCAGGCCGGAAACTACGTCACACTTAGGGCTTAGAGCAGAAGGATAAAGGCTTAAAACGCTTATTGTAGATCCGGGGTTAAGAAAGGACATTTAGCCTCAAATTGTAGAAAATTAACGAATTTTGGAATGGAGATTTTAATATGTCAAATTTGCAAAAAACGAGGGTATAGTGCTGACAAATGTCGGTTTCGCAATCCCCAAACTCGACTACCAGTTAATATTTTACAGGGAAATAACATTACTTGTCAATTGTGCTCTAAATCTGGCCACATTGCCAAAAATTGTCGATTGAGTAATAATCATAATCAAAATACTATACAACTTCCGTAATTTGTCAGTAGTGCGATAAATCAGATCACTCGGCTAATAATTGTTGGAAGAAACAGAATGAGGAACGTAATTCAGAAAATAAGATAAAAACTGTTTGCCAAATATGCAGCAATTTTGGATATGTAGCTAAGGACTGTCGATCTAAGATAGGGCATAATGCAGTAGCTTCAAATTCACTATTTTGTCGTTACTGTAAAGAGCAAAAATATCTTCTTGAAAGTTGCGAATTACGTATCGCAAGTAATCACCGAAGAAAAGCAATTGAACAGGGAAACTCCGACGGGCCCTCGAAGCCGGGTGTGCTACAGGGGTCCGAGCGGATCTCACACCCATCGACCTCCAAAAAGGTCCAGTAGAACACTTTAGAAATATTATACAACCCGTAACGGTGACTCTCGACAAACATAGTCGTGTGCCTACCGTTCAAGTAAATTTTTGTAAATCAACACCGCACATTACTTTTATGTTAAACACAGGTTCAGGACCAAATATAATTAAAGAAAGTCATATGCCTAAAGGCAACATTGTCAATTACGATAATATCTTAAAATTAAACAGGATAAACGAATACTCTGTCTACACTCTTGGGGAGATAACCTTACCCCTCTTTGAGAAAGACTTTTCACATTGTATCAAATGACTTTCCTATTTCACAGTCGGGAATTCTGGGAAACGACTTTTTCAAACAGACTTCTTCGAAAATAGACTACGAGAAGGGGTACTTAGATATCTCAGGAGTTAATGTGCCCTTCTTTTCCCCAGAAACTATTATCGCCACTCCGCGATCAGAATCATTGTTTTACGTAAGAATAGGAAATCCTGAAATAAAGATTGAATATATACCAAGAATAAAAATAACTCACGGGATCTACTTAGAAGATACTATAGTAGAGAATATTTCAGGAAAAGCATATTTAAACGTTATAAGCACGCTAGATGAGGAAGTAGAAGTGCAAGTACCAACTTTGCGTCTTAAACCCTTAAACGAATTGTTCGATGACAAATACAGTACTGACATTCAATATAATCGAGAGAAAAATCCAAGTAAACTAAATAATCCTATACATTTTGATAATGACGCATATCCAAGTAGTAATAGAGACGAAACCGAGACTCAATGAGAATATAGACACTATGAATAACGAAGAACAAGAAAAAAGGGAAAATATAAAATTAAATGAAATAATGACGGTAACAAATAGTGTCCGAAAACAGAACAAAATTAAATTTAAAGAAGACAATGAAAATACAGTAATGGGAGAAAATAAAAACCCAAAAAAAATTCGAATTTAGGATTTCAGACCTCTCCCGAAATCCATTACTCCAAAATGCTTGGAGAGGGAATTTACCAAACCTCTCCTGAAGATCCAATTAATTCGAAAATCCTTGGAGGGGGAAATTACCAAACCTCTCCTGAAAATCCAATAAATCCCAAAATCCTTGGAGGGGGAAATTACTAAACCCCTCCTGAAAATCCAATAAATTCCAAAATCCTTGGAGGGGGAAATTACCAAACCTCTCCTGAAAATCCAATTAATTCGAGAATTACAGAGGAAAGTTTCCAAACTTCCCTGTTAGATTCCATCCGCGTCGATTGCAAAAAGGGGAATAATCAAATCTCACTATGCAATATGAATCATTTCAATTCAAAGGAGTCAAAAGAAAAGAGCTCCTTAATTTCTTTGAAAAATTTAAGTTAGCGAGGGTTGGAATACCCATGAAAAATGATTCTGATCATACTCATATTAGTATTGATGAACTTTTAAAAAAGATAAAATCATGCAACGCTTATATAAATGTCCGCAATTCTAAAAGAAACAAACCATCTCTTAATACTTTTAAGTCTACACAAATCCAATCTCAAGAAATTGTAGACAAATTTATGCGAAAGCGCAATTCAAAATATAAAGAAATAAAAAAGAAACCTCAAGAGAATTCTACGACCAATATTTTGTACAAATGTTTAGCAGTATCGGAAGAAGCTAAACAGTCAAGATAGATTCCATATTCCTGGAGAAAAGCTAACAGCAACTAATGTATTACAACACCAAATCCCGACTACAGATAGTCGACCTATAAATATGCGACAATATAGATTTCCGCAAATTCATAAAGAAGAAATAAATAGGCAAGTAGAAGAACTGTTAGAAGGAGGGATCGTGAAACCTTCTCAGTCTCCTTACAATATGCCTATATGGATAGTTTCCAAAAAGGAAGACTCAAAAGGAAACAAACAATGGAGGATGATCTTAGATTTCCGAGCCTTGAACGAAAAAACCGTGGGAGACGCATATCCATTACCTAATATTGTTGACATTTTAGACCAATTAGGCGGAGCACGATACTTTTCCGTCTGTGATTTAGCCTCGGGATACCACCAAATAAAAATGGATCCTGCAGACAGTCACAAAACCGCATTTACCATTCCTTTTGGGCATTACGAATTCGATCGGATGCCTTTCGGATTAAAAAACGCATCCGCTACTTTCCAACAACTAATGGATTTAGTATTATCAGGATTACAAGGCGAAGAATTATTTGTTTATATGGATGACATTGTCATTTACGCTCCCTAGAAGAACACAAAAGAAAATACAATTTGCTAATAGAGCGATTACGCAATGCTAATTTAAAACTACAACCTGACAAATGCGAATTTTTAAAAACAGTAGTGACCTATTTGGGACATGTGATAAGTAAAGATGGAGTTAAACCCGATCCAAAAAATTAGAAGCCGTAAAGCAATTTCCAAGACCTAAAACATCGAAAAATATTAAACAGTTTCTTGGATTAGCAGGTTATTATCGGAGATTTATACCTGATTTTTCAAAATTGGCAAAACCTTTAACCAATTTGTTGAAAAATGATACCCGTTTCGAATGGACGTCTGATCAAGAAGAGTCCTTTAAAGCAGTAAAAGACAGATTATGCGAAGAACCTGTACTACAATACCCAGACTTTTCCAAACCTTTCATTCTAACCACTGATGCTTCCGGAATCGCCATAGGAGACATTTTATCACAAGGCGAGATAAATAAAGACAGGCCAATACGCTTCGCGAACTTTAACTGACAACGAAATAAATTACGATACTTACGAAAAAGAAGCTTTAGCCATAATATATTGCGTCAAACACTTTAGGCCGTATTTGTACGGGCGGAAGTTTACATTAGTGACTGACCATAAACCTTTGCTCTGGTTTAAAAATGCACAGGATGCAAACATGAGAATACTCAGGTGGAGGCTGAAATTAGCTGAATACAACTACGATGTAGTGTACAAAGCAGGTAAAATTAATGTAAATGCCGACGTTCTATCCAGAAATCCAGCAGACTTCAAGGAAGAACATTGTAATATAATTAAGCGTAAAATGACTTTGAATCCTAATAACCCTGAAGATGCGGAGACAATTTCCATAATGCTGGAAGAATTAGACGAAGAGGAAGGAGAAAGCGAGGATTTTAAATTGTACTTATCAAATGATGAACAGTTCGAAGATTTATTACCTGATGATAACCAACCTGAAGAGGATATGGATCCAACGTCTATCACATCAAGGGAAATAGAGGAGTTACCGAGATCACAAACTATAGGAAGAACCGCAACTCACGACTCTCCTCAACATAATAGAATGCAAACTCGGAGTCAAATAGTGAAAAAACTGGAAAACGAATCAGGAAGCATCATCTCACGATTCTCAATTACAGGAGGACGGAATGGAAGATGGAAACAATTCATATAAAGAAAGTGATACAGAGGATAATGATCCAAAGGAAAATCAAGAGGAAGAAGAAGATGAAGACGAAGATTTCATAGGCGAGAATGAGAATCGGAGACTAAAAGAAAAAACACACAACACCTATTATTATTAATAATTAAATAATAAAAAACAATGTTCTTGACTCTCGCGAATTATTATCCTTGCGAAAAGATAACGTTGCATACTTTGTTGACACTGATGGAAAACCTTTAAATTCAGGATCACAAAAACTATTTGAAAGAAATGAGATCCCTCGTTTAGGAGATCTTGTCTTAGGCAGAATCTTAGGTCTTAGGTCTTAGGTAAAGTCAGAACCATA